TGTGCTCTCACACTTAAAGGCTTTGATATATATAGGCTAGAGGATTGTTGTGTTGAAGTAAAACTGCCGCCAGTCTGAAATTACTAGCACCACAATCAATATGAAAGGTTGGGTGAAGTCTGGTAGAGCCAAAACAGGTGCTTGTGTCATTAGATGCTTGAGCTGGTCAAAGGCAGCCTGTGCAATAGGTTCCAGCTGAATTGATCTTTCTTGAGAAGGTCAGTAAGTGGTTTGTAGATAACCCCATACCCTGCTATAAACTCCCTATAGTATCCAATAAGAACAAGAAACCCTCTAAGGTCTTTCAGATTTTTTGGGACAGGCCAATTAGCTATAGCTTCCACCTTACTAGGGCTAGTAGACACCCCTTGAGTAGAGATAATGTGACCCAAGTAGCTAACTTGGGATTGCCCAACCTCACATTTAGATTGTTTAGCTAACAGCTTATTTTGAGGAGAGTACTTGAAAGACAAGTTCTAGATGCTGCACATGGGCTTCAAGAGTAGAATTATAGAATAGAACATCATCAAGGAAAACTAACACAAACTTTCTGAGGTAGGGCTGAAATAAGGAATTCATTAGGGCTTGGAACGTGGTTGGTGCATTAGTTAGCCCAAAGGGCATGATAAGGAATTCATAATGCCCTGAATGAGTTCTAAATGCAGTTTTGGGGATGTCCTCTACCTTCATTTTGATTTGATGGTAGCTTGCCCTTAAGTCAATTTTGGAGAATATGGTTGACCCATGTATTCATCTAATAGCATGCTTGTTAAGTTCCTTATAATCCACACAAAATCTCCAAGTCTCATCTTTCGTTTTAACTAACTAATAACATAGGAGAAGCAAAGGGGTTGGTGCCTGGTTGGATGAGGGAACTGTTAAGCATTTCAAATACAAGTTTCTCAATTTCATTTTTTTGGTGGTGAGAGTATCTATAGGGTCTGATGTTGACTGGTTCAGTGTTTGGTTTGAGGGGAATTGAGTGGTCATGAGTTCTAAATGGGGCAAAAAGATAGGTGTTTGGAAGAGATGTGCATATTTATAAAGTAGGGAAGTGATCATAGGTGATGGTTGGGTTTGGTTGGGGTTGAGTGCTGTTCAATGGATGGGTTTAAGGTCATGACAAATAGTCTAGTTGTGACCCCTTTCCAATCAGATTGCATTATTTTCCCTAAGGCCTTTGAGGTTATCATTCTTATAGAGACTTGCTCACTCAACCCTCTCAACTCAAGCTTCTTTCCCTCTTTCTGTATAGTCAGCATAGTTTCCCTAAAGTCAAAGGTCACAAGCGAGTGACATTTCATCCAATCAACTTCCAATATCATATCATAATCTCCTAGTTCTAAAACCCTTAGGTCAAACTCAAACTTATGCCCTTGCATGTTCCACTTACAGCCATTACATTTCTCACAAACAACCAATTTTCTCCCATCAACTACTGTCACAATCACAGGTTTTACCTTGGACACAGGTAGTTTAGACTCTTTGGCTACCTTAGAATGTAGAAAGCTATGTGTGTTATCAAGATCATAATTGGCTTAGCATGTAATTGACCCTTCATTTTCAGTGTATCATCACTAAGCTCCCTATCTACAGCATTAAGGGATAGGGTTATACTCACTAATGTCTCCACTATAGTTTCATTTTCAAGATCCTCCACTTCATGCTATTCCTCCTCTTCCAACTCCTCTTCTTGAGACTGTATTGCCATTAATTTCTTAGATGCACATTGGTGAACTTGGAAATATTTGTCACCACACTTATAGCACGTGAAATGCGGTCTTTTCTGAAAGGGAATGGGTTGTTTTATTTGTGTGTTGGGTAGAAATGGGTTGGCCATTTTGGGAACTGTGCTGGTCTTGGATGTGTTAGGCGGAGTGTTTATGGGTATATTAGGTGGTCTACTATGATTATAGGTTGAAGGGTTCCAAGGTTTAGAAGTGGAGTTAGGTTTGGTAGCTGCTAAATTAACTCTTGCAATAGTAGTGTATAGGTCTGAGGGTTTCAACATTTTGACAGTTAATCTTATTTCATCCTTAAGCTCCCCAATGAAGTAGGAGATATAATATGATTCAGGGAGAAGAGGGTAAACCTTTTCCATTCTCAGTTTACGAGACTCAAATCTGTCTTGATAGTCATTGACAGTGTCAGTTTGCCTTAGGTTTTGTATTTCCTCCACAACATCTTCTTCCTTTTGTTCCCTGAATCTTTGGCAAATAGCCTCAGCAAAATCTTCCCATATTAGAGCATCTCTTCCCTTACTCCAATTAAGGAACAAGACCTCAGCTATACCCTCCAAAAACAAACTTGCTAGCTCTACCCTCCTTTAATTGGATACCTCAAAGCAAATCCACATGTTGAATCATAGAACTTTTGAAAAGTCAGAGAGGGGGAGTTACTTAGCTATGATAGGAAACAAGGTTCTTTGTAACATCCCAGATTCTAAACCAGACACATTCCTTGAGGTAGAACATTTGCTATGGGAGTTCTCCAACGTAATGCCTAATGAGTTAGCACCCATGAGAGATATTCAACATGTTATTGACTCGGTTCCTGCATAATCCTCCTCATGATAGGATGAACCCTATGGAATGAGATGAATTAAATAGCCAAGTTAAAGAACTATTGATACCTAAAAAATATGGTTATTCCTACACTCTTGACACCTAAGAAATACGGTTCTTGGAGAATGTATATAGATAATAGAGCCATAAACAAGATCACTATTATATATAAATTCCCAATTCCTAGACTTAAGGATATGTTGGATTTGTTTGCAAGATCTTGTTTGTTATCAAAAATTGACTTGCATAGCGGGCTAGCTAACGATCGCGATTTTGTTGATTTTATTATTCATAATGACTATTTGTTTAGGCCTACTAAGTTGTGCATTCCTCGTACTTCACTGAGGGAAATTATAGTGTGGGAATTGCATGCAAGTGGATTAGCGGAACATTTTGTCAAGGATAAGACCATTGCTCTAGTCAAGGACATGTTTTATTGACCTTCATTGAAGAGAAATGTTGCTAGGATTGTCTCAGAGTCACACTTGTCAATTCTTGATGTAGAACCACAAAGAACAAACGCAAATAGCGAACAAATCCTTAAAGAAGAGAGAAACTAATTTTCCATCGTATTATTCTCAAATAATTCTCATATCAAAGTTCGATTATAATGTAAATAACTTGGCCTGTTTATAGTGTTTGTATAACCCTAGGAATAATATTAGGATTAGAAATCATAATCTAATTAGGAATACACAATCACAAATCCCTACAATTTTTACTTATTGTATTTATATTTTTCCTTAAAATAAGTACTCCTAAAATCTCCAAGAATAGTATTTGCTTCATGTGTCTTCATTCACAACAAGTAAAACATCGAGTTTGTGAGGTTTTGAAACCAAGACTAGAGTTGCTCTAGACTCCATACAGCACAATATTCTTCACCTTTTGCTTGCACCTCCACCAATTGCTTCACTCGTTGGGGCAGCTCCTCAGCTAATTTATTGGGCTATTTACTCACCTCAAAACTATGGAATAATGCTAGAATCACCCTGCATCTGCATTGCTCCATAACGCAACATTCATTTTTCAACCATTAAAGCATACTGAAGAGCATCTCCAATATTAAAAAAACAAACCAACAAGATAACAAGAGGTTAATTGTTCATCTATTTCTAACCAACTTGAATAGAAAGGTCAGTGAACTCCTCTATTGATATAGAAATATGCTTCAACAAGTGAAATTTCTCATACAACTCCATGGCATAATCAACTAGTAAAAAATTCTTCCGCAGCTTCCTCTTCATGTGTTTCCAAAAGCTTAAAATTTTTCCTTGCCTTATTGTGCATGTTACTCTTCAATTATCTTCCACCGCCGAATCACCGTGTCTTTCAATTTAAGATCGACCAACAACACTTTCCTGTTTTTCTCCATTGGTTAGTTTCCAAGCTAGCTTCCCAATTCAAACAATCTTTAACATGCATTTTCCATAAAAATCATAAACTTCTACCTTGACTCCACCATTTAAATCAAAAGCATAAAGTAGCTGCCCTCCAATCCCCTCTTACTGCATGATTTATTATGAAAATCCTCTACTTCATCAAAATCATTCTCAAGGCCACCTTCTAGCAATTCTAAGGGGTCACGGTTGCCTTCCAAATTCTCCATTTGGATTTACATTGGTTCATGTCGCTATAAGGCTTGCACAACTCGCAACAAATCTTCAATCATACAATGCATCTCTACCGATTCTTCTAGTTGGCCTGATCCCTTCTATGACATCTACCACGTCCGACTATAGCTTACAAATGCTAAAGCAACAGCAGATTTTCTTGGCTCCCATACCAACTGATGCAGTTTGGGGATAAAGGACAGAAAAACAGCAGTGAAAATTTAGGCTAAAGCAACCTAGATTGATGCAGGAACCATAGATAGATATCTCATAGGTTTTAAGAAAACCAAAACATTTTATTAATAATGGAAAGCTACCAGCAAAATAGTCTTCAAAGGCTATTTGAACTAGGGTTAGAGCATTTATTAAATCCCAGCCCCAGATCATAATTAAATCCCTTAAATCTATCCAATTTAAAAAGTCACATGCTAGGCACACACTAAGTAAAGCAAACAAATAGTAATAAATAAGTGATTTAAGAAGGATATGAATATTTGGACATATATGAAACTGATTGATCTTTCTGGTCCTTCACATGGAAGATATCTGATGAATGAGTGACAAAGGAAATGGGGATTACAGCTTAATCATGTACTACAACAACATTATTTTCATGTATTTGACCTAACTGTTATATGCAATTAGCATTTATACAATTGCAAGGATACATGTATAAACATATGTAGAACAACTGGATTTGCATACATTTTATGTAGAATATGAAAACCATATACTGTAACCACCTGATGGAGCCATTGAATTTTCATTGGAGAAAAAACATGCTAGGTGCAGCACAAAAGTGATCAGGGATGAGCATACTAACCATTTCATGACACTTTGTAACAGCATGACCAATCTGTTCAAAGTTTTCAGTGGGCATGCCAGTGATACGAGCAAGTTCACTTTCATTTGGGCTCAGGATGTCAACAACCTTCAACAGTTCTAAGGGTATGGGTGTATCCATTCCCCCAACATCCAAAATGACAGGAACACCTACATTCTTTGCTGCCTAAAGACATGGCAACATCAGAATATGAAAGAAGTTATTACAAGAAAATACAAGGTGACACCAAAGGAAGAACGAATCATAACATTGCCAGTGCCACATTGATGATAAAGGAAATAACTATCAAAGTCCGTCCAGAGGAAATGATAAAGGATCCTTAAACCACAAATTTCTAAGAGATTCCTAATGCTCATAAAAAATTTAATAATAATATATAAGAGAAAAGACAATGATTTTTTGTTAGATAAGAAGCATGTAGAGATCTCACAACATCATTCGATTATCCGCAGATAATGGCATTAGAGATTTATCAAAATACATTCTAATACTAAAATGTTATTATCAAATAAAATATACATATAAGGGTTGAAGAATTTTGGATGTCTGTTGCTGATATGATAATTGACTGGACTCTACAAAATAGAAATGATGGTTGAGTAGCTATAACTTATGCAATCAGAAATTAAAAAATTACCCTTGCTTCAAAATCAGTTATTTAGCAATTAAGCTTAAGCAAGTACAATACCCACTTTGTCGTTGGCTTGCCAGGGCCTAGCTCCACAAAGTCCCACCATAGCACCATTGTCATACTAATTTTGTTCAGTAGAAAAATGAAAGAGAGGGAAGAATATGCCAAGTAACGCAGCACAACCATATTGTGCTGTCATGAAACCATTCAGCTACCTTATTCCAAATACACAAAATTTGTTATAGAATCACTCCTCTTAATTTCTTTGAGCATTTGTACTGTGCACACTGCCAAAAAGGCAATCACTAAATAGAACTAACTAATTTTCCCAATTCAAAGCTGTTTCCTAGAAGCAAGGAAAATCTTTGTCCAATTTCCAATTAATTTGGAGTCTCTAGCTTTGATCCACCCATCAGAAAGCTTGATTTCCATGCATCAGTGATAATGCTATATCTTTTCCGCATATTGAGACATCAAACAAAATGGAACAATTTTAATCAGACAAATTCTGGCACATTCTACTGATAGTTTGAAGGAAACTGAACATCGATATACAAAACTAAGTCCTTTTAAGCTTTGCAATCAACTATGATATACATAGAATAAGTGATAAAAGATCACAAAAAAATTTTACAAAAGAAACAAGAACGGGCGTATTTTGTCAACCTCAGTTTTGACATGGTGGGGTAACAGAGTAGGGGCTCATGTAAAAAGACTAAAAGATAAAATGAATTGGGTGCATTATATCTCTCTAGAGTGCTTGAGCTTCTAACAGTTCCACTGCTTCTGTTGTTACTCATTCAAACTCATATTTTCAACCACTATCTAAATTTACATTATTATTCATCTTCAACATGCTACTATCTCTTTGAAAATTAGTCATTTTGACACCCAACAATAGTAGATATGCATTATCTGCTCTCTCACTCACCTCTCTCTCTAGAAGAATAAGGTCATCAAGACAACAATGCGTGCTCAAAGAGATAACTATTCCTCAAAGTATATATAGTTTATCACATTCTTAAACGGAGATTACTAAGACATCGCACCAAAACAAAAATCCCCAAACACCCAACTTACCCAAATACACTGAGATCTAGACAGCTTCAAAGACCAGAATTTAAAAATACACAACATAAGCATTATTCCTCTTTAAGATGCAAAACACGACCAAGATTTGACAAACCAAGAGTAAATCAAACAAAAGTAAAAGTATCCAGACTAAAATGGTAACAAAATTCAAAGATCTAATTTTAACGCCCGCCTGACCTTTGCAACTTGGATATTGACAGAATCAGGGATCTCCCTTTGTAGCAAAATGATACCAGCATTCCTCACAACCCCCAAATGCTGATCACTTAGCTCCTCAGGCCAACCACTGTTGTTGGCTCCACCAACAATAATAATAGAGTTCTGCCCATCAGACTGAAGCATCACCACAGCATGCCCGGTAGGCACATCACCAACATGCCTTACATAATCAAGGTGGACGCCACCATTCCTCAAAGCATCAATGATCAATTTCCCATTAGCATCATCACCCACCTGCCCCACAAAGTAGGTTGGGTAAGAGAGTTTGCCACCACAGGCTGCCTGATTGGCTCCCTTGCCACCTGCAAGTGTCTGCCCATTCTTGGCTGAGATGGTCTCTCCTTCTCTGGGTAGTCTGTCAATTTCAACATATATGTCTGCGTTGGCTGACCCTACTACAACGAGCGGTGGGGTGTTGGGTTCCGGAGAAGTAACTGGAGTAAGAGGGGTTTTGGATGATTTAATGGAAAATGAACGAAATAGTTGTGTTTTGGTTGATGGGTTTTGGTTTTGGTGGTTGATGAATTGAATTTGTATTGCGTTAATTGAGGGTTTTTTATAAAGGTGGAAATAGCCGTTAGATGGTGAAAACGCCATTGTTTTCATATTTCTTCTCACTGAATACGTTCCGGTCTCACTCCCAGCTTCCAATCCAAAGTTGATTTCTTCGTAACGTCGTCAAGCAAATAGCAGTTCGATCTGGGGTCAGCTACCGTGAGTCAGCGGATAGAAACGCCACCTCCTAAACCGTGGATTTAATAATTTTTTTGTTATTGGCCGTTTCTAATTCAAGGCCAACTAAATAAAAATTTAGTTTTGAATTTTATAACTTTAATTTAATTCCGTGACATTTCGAATTTTGAGAATAATGTATTGAACATTTAAATTTATAAATTTTTATAACATTGTATTTTTTTTTTAATGCTAATAGCAATAGTTTTGCGAACTTTTGACTTTTACATGTAAAATATAAAGTGTAATTATCATAGCTTTTACAATAGTAGTGTTAACATTTCTCAACGATTTAATAGACATTTAATTAGTCTGGTTTTACAAATTGAAGTACCCAATAATTCTATAAATTAAAGTGTTCAATAAATAAAATTTTATAAGTTGAAATATTTAATAGATTAAAGTACAAATTAAAGGTATCATAAAATTAAAGTAATAAAGTTCAGGGGTGAATTAATGTATTCAGCCTTAATTAAAAGCTAAAATTGTGAAAAATAAAAGTAATCATCAACTCTATAATAATAATAATAATAATAATAATAATAATAATATTCAAAACACATATAGATTTGATGAAATAATAGGACTTCCTATAATAATCTTAGTTTAATTTGCAATTTCTAAAATATCATTTTTTAATTATATTTTAATTATAAATTAAATTAATAATATAAATAATATTTAACAAACTGTTCTTTCTCAAGTAATTAGTTTGTCATTTGTGGAATGATTTTCAAATAACATTAATAGATATATTTAAGAAGATAATATTAGAGCGTTTATATTTATTTTAATAATTAAAAAAATATTTTGAGTTTAATCAATCTATATATATCTCGTGTCCCGCATTTTCGGTCTGACTAACAAGTCAATATGCGGCAGGGGGAATAGTCATTCCCTTCGGACACGCCTTGTTTAATATCCTATAATCAACACACTTCTGACCTTAGGCCATCTTTCCTCGGACTGCAACAATATTTGCTAACTATGTTTGGGGTAGGGCCGATGGTTCTATGAACTTGGTTTTTCGCAGTTGCTTGCCACTTTCTTCCTGATCTTCCAAGACCAGCATTCGTCTTCAGCCTTTCTATAGCTTCCTTCTGTTTTACTAGGCTTAGCCTCAAGGGGTAATACTGGGGAATTTTGTGTACGCGCTTATTGCTGGGTCGATTCCCGTTGACGTCGCTTTGCCTCCACATGAAGCAATCGGCGAACTTCCTTCAAGCATTCAATGAACTTGTTCCTGGTTAGCACAATCGAATGCAATGTATGTTATGTTCATTTTCCTCTTGGCCATTATTATTTTTTCTTTTTCAATTTTTAATTTCGTTTATTTCTTTTTCTTTATTTTGCTTGGAATGCTTGGACAAGATAGACACGCTGGGTAAATCAAGATCTGGCGTGGGGGGGCAGGGGAGGGGGGGGGGAGGGAGGAGGGTCGGGGGTTGGGGGGACGCATTCTTCTGAGTCTGTTGTTCTACCTTATTCCAAAATACCACCAAATTTGTTATAGGGAACACTTCCTCTTAATTTCTTTTGAGCATTTGTACTGTTGCACACTGCCAAAAAAGGCAATCACAAATAGAAACTAAGACTAATTTCCCAATTCAAATGCTGTTTCCTAGAAGCAAGGAAAATTTGTCAATTTCCATTAATTTGGAGTCTCCTATCTTTGATCCACCCATCAGAAAGCTTGATTTTCCATGCATCAGTGATAAAGTCTATATCTTTTCCGCATATTGGAGACAATCAAACAAAATGGAACAATTTAATCAGACCATTCTGCACATTCTACTGATAGTTTGAAGGAAACTGAACATCGATAACAAAACTAAGTCCTTTTAAGCTTTGCAATCAACTATGATATACATAGAAATATAGTGATAAAAGATCACAAAAAAATTTTACAAAAGAAACAAGATACGGGCGTAATTTGGTCACCTCAGTTTTGACATGGTGGGTAACAGAGTAGGGGCTCATGTAAAAAAGACTAAAAGATAAAATGAATTGGGTGCAATAGTATCTCTCTAGCAGTGCTTGAAGCTTCTAATCAGTTCCACTGCTTCTGTTGTTACTCATTCAACCATCTTTTTCAACCACTATCTAAATTTACATTATTATTCATCTCAACATGCTACTTATCTCTTTGAAAAATTAGTCATGTTTGACACCCAACAATAGTAGATATGCATTAATTGCTCTCTCACTCAACCTCTCTCTCTAGAAGAATACAGGTCATCAAGACAACAATGCGTGCTGCCCAAGAGATAAACTAATTCCTCAAGTATATATAGTTTATCACATTCTTAAACGGAGATACTAAGACATCGCACGCCACAACAAAAAATCCAAACACCAACCTTACCCAAATACAACTGAGATCTAGACAGTCTTCAAAGACCAGAATTGTAAAAATACACAACATAAGCATTATTTCCCTCTTTTAAGATGCAAAACACGAGCAAGATTGACCCAACAAGAGTAAATCAAACAAAAGTAAAAGTATACCAGACTAAAATGGTAAAACAAAATTCAAGATCTAAATTTTAACAGCCCCGCCTCGACCTTTTGCAACTTGGATATTGACAGAGATCAGGGATCTCCCTTTGTAGCAAAATGAACAGCATCCTCAAACAACCCCCAAATGCTGATCACTTAGCCTCCTCAGGGCCAACCACTGTTGTTGGCTCACCAACAATAATAATAGAGTTTCTGCCTCATCAGACCTGAAGCATCACCACAGCATGCCCGGTAGCACATCACCAACAGTGCCTTACATAATCAAGGTGACGCCACCAATTCCTCAAAGCATCCAATGATTCAATTTCCCAATTAGCATCAATCACCCCATCCTGCCCCCACAAAGTAAGTTGGGTAAGAGGAGTTTGCCACCACAGGCTGGCCTGATTGGCTCCCTTGCCACCTGCAAGTGTCTGCCCATTCTTGGCTGAGATGGTCTCTCCTTCTCTGGGTTAGTCTGTCAATTTCAAACATATAGTCGCGTTGGCTGACCTACTACAAGCGAGCGGTGGTGTTGGGTTTCCGAGAAGTTAACTGGATAAGAGGGGTTTTGATGATTTAATGGAAAAAATGAACGAATAGTTGTGTTTTGGGGTTGATGGGTTTTGTTTTGGTCGGTTGATGAATTGAATTTGTATTGCCGTTAATTGAGGTTTTTTAAATAAAGTGCAATAGCCGTAGATGGTGAAACGCCATTGTTTTCATATTTCTTCTCACTGAAATACGTTTCCGGTCTCACTCCCAGCTTCCAATCCAAAGTTGATTTCCTCGGTACGTCGTCAAGCAAAATAGGCATTCGGATCTGGGGTCAGCTACCTGTGAGTCAGCGGATAGAAACGCCACCTCTAAACCCGTGATTTAATAATTTTGGTTATTGGCCGACGTTTCTAATTCAAGCCAACTGAATATTAAAAATTTAGTTTTGAATTTATTATAACTTAATTTAATTCGCGTGACATTTCGAATTTTGAGAAATAATGTATTGAACTTTAAATTAATAAAATTGTATAACATTGTGATTTTGTTTTAATATGCTAATAGGAATTGAGTTTTGCGAAGTTTGACTTTTACAGTAAAAATAATAAAGTGGTAATTATCATAGCTTTTTACAATAGTAGTGTTAAACATTGCCTCAACGATTTAAGTAGAATTTAATTAGTCTGGTTTTACAAATTGAAGTACCCAAATAATTCTATAAATTGAGAAGTGTTCAATAAATAAAATTTTATAAGTTGAAATATTATTAAATAGTTAAAGTACAAATTAAAAGGTATCATAAAGATTAAAAAGGTAATTAAGTTCAGGGGTGTAATTAATGTATTCAAGGCCTTAATGTAAAAGCTAAAATGTGAAAATAAAAAGTAATCATCAACTCTATAATAATAATATAATAATAATAATAATAATAATTATTCAAAACACATATAGACTTTGATGAAATAAATAGGACTTCCTATCATCATCTTAGTTTAATTTGCAATTTCTAAAAATAATCATTTTTTAATTATATTTAATTATAAATTAAATTAATAATATAAATAATATTGTAACAAACTGTTTCTTTCTCAATAATTAGTTTGTCATTTGTGTAATGATTTTTCAATAACATTATAGATAATATTTTAAGAAGAATAATATTAAAGAGCGTTTATATTATTTAATAATTAAAAAATATTTGAGTGTTAATCAATTACTATTATATATCTATTAATACTATGTAAGTATAAATCTTGGAAGAAAAAAAATAATATATAGAGAATCTCACTTGCACTTGTTCTCATCAAGCATGCCTATTATCATTTATAATCTTGAAGAAAAAAAATATATATAAGAATCTCACTTGGCACTTTCCTCATCAAGCATTCCTATTTCTATTTTTTTAAGAATTTTTGAATTTCTACCTTATTTTTTGACATTTATGATTGGATGATTCTTTTAAATATTTTTATAATAATAATAATAATAAATCTAAATTTATTGAATTTTTGAATTTTTTTCCATATCTAAATCTATATAACTATATACATATATCTACAAATACCTCCCAGTTTCAATGTTTTTTCACAATGATTTTTTTCATATTGTTTTTTTTTTATTTCTTTGAATTATTTTACTTTTAATTTTTTGAGTTTTGATTGTGCTCTATAAATTTTTATTATTTCATTTTAATATATATTATTATTGTTGTTTTTTCAGATTTTGAATTGCAAAAGGATGATAGTAACAATTTCAATTGATATATATCACGCTTCTTCTTCTTTAATTAAGTAGAATAAGTTGTATGATCTAAAGTATGTTTAGTAGGTTTTTTTTCTTTGTCTGTAGTTTTTATGCTTGTAAATGAAATGTTAGTATTTATTTATTTATTTATTTATTATTATTATTATTATTATTATTATTTTGTCATTTTTTTATCTATTTTGCTTACTAGGTAGGAGATTGTTATTATTTACATAAATGATTAAAAAAAATATTAAATTCAATAAAATACATTTAAAATAACAAAGAGAGCTTATAAGATAACATCTAATAAATTAAAAAAATACATCCAATAAATTAAAAAATATATCTGATAAATTAAAAAATACTTTGAATAAATTAAAAATAAATTTAGATACCATTTATCTTTAAAATGATATTCTTATCCTTTAAATTTTATTTTTATTATTTAAGTATTATAAAATTATATCTAATGATCATATTTTAAAATCAATATTCATTTACAATCATAATCTTAAAACGACCTGAAAATTTTATTTAAAAAAATTTCATTTAAAAACTTAAATAGTAAATTTAATCAATGGGAAAAAAGAGCATTGTTATTTTTTTTAATAAATAAATCTATACCTTGTAAAATTATTTGATAAGTTTAATACAAATATCATTGTATATAGTTAAACTGAACCTAAAAGAGTTAATTAAACCAATTGAAAAGCCCACAAACCGAAAGGAAACCCAAGCAAAGACCCTGAATCGAACGAAACCAGCCTTGAACCAAACCAAATTATTTCCTAACGCCTAAACCAGAACCCTTTAGAAGCCTCTCTATCACTTTGAACGCCAACTTCATCCCCTCCCTCCCCTTTGTTTTTCATTTTCGCTATCGCCGGACAACAGCCGTCCACCACCACCTCACCGCAGGTCCGGCCTCTCTTTCTCTTTTCGTTGATGGCGAACGCAGCAACCGCAGGAGACTCGATCGGGAAATCGCGTCGCAACTCACTCCTCGATCTTCCGGCGACTGCAGCTCTCTTCGGTCGACTCCAGCTTCGTCTCGTCAACGGCGAAGCTCCTATACCTCGCTCTCTTCCCTTTCCGGCTGGCGCAGCAAGCTAGCAGATCTGCGATCGTGGCTTGCGATCGGTACTATCGCGTTACTGCTTTCTTTTATTTTTCCGGTGAGATCAAACGCAAGCCGGTGAGACTGAGCCTTCTCTCATTGCCAGCAGCCTTTGATACTCCATTGTTGTCTCCTCCAGTCAAGCTGTCGCCGGCAGCAGTGGGTTTTGGCTTTGAAGTTCACTTCCGGTCACTTTAATTAATTGAAAAATCGGAGTCCTTCAGTGGGTTTTTCAGCTGGGTAAGTCGAATTTCACCCTTCTTTAATACATTTAGTGAATTCTTTGAACAAGTGTATAGAATTTGATGCATAAATCAAGTTGGGTAGAGTTTAAATCCCTAAATTAGCTACTGTTTAAGTGCAAATAATTAGAAGCTTTGATTTTACGTTTTAAATTGATTTAAACTGAATTCCCATATAGAAATGGTTAGGTTATTTCTTTCATTATAAATTTTTATGAAGAGTCGAGCATTCGGCAGATTGATTTTTTTTTTATCATTTTAATTGAACTATAAACTGAAGTCGTACCTATATGAATCAATTATTTAGTTGACAGCAGATTTTGGTGAAGGAAATTAGAAGCTTTGGATGACAGCAACCATTTTAGCTTTTCCCTTGAATTATTGCTTTGATATGAATTATATGATGTTGTAAGTTTAAGTTTTGATGGGAAATGAGTTAATTTGTTTATTGTATATAAGTTTAAGTCAAGTAGAAGCTATTTCTCTTGGTGAGTAGCAGCTATGTCAGGTAATGGGTGCCCTTTTTAGATATACTAACATAGAAATAGATATGTTTTCAACATTTTTTTTTTTTATGTTGGTTACTATTGGTTATTGCTTGATAGCCTTATTAAATGAATGGTTTGATCGTAGACCTTGCCATAATTAGAAATTATATTTCTATGTTAAGACAAAGAAAATTTATGAAGCCTTAGTTGGTATATGTTTAAGAGTGAATTAAGTTACTTAGTAGATATATATTTTAACAAATGCATAAATATATGTGGTTTATACCTTAAGCAAGGATGATGAAGTAAAGGCTTGACGAGGAGTTCTATAACGATTAGAGGCTAATTAACTATCAAATGAGAGTAGTTCAATTTAACTTATCGATACAAGTTTTGTTTATAAATTGTACATTTATTTGATAATTAGTTAGAGGACAATTAATAATATTATTGGAACATGCTTGGAGGTTATTATAATTTGTAAATTAATTAGTGAATGTTGACATGGTTGTACTGAAAGGAGGATGGGACTTAAATTGTTTGATTGCCTGATGGATAGGCTGTGAGAACTTGATTAATAAATATTAGATATTTGATATTGTCTAAATAGGTAGAAAGTCCTTTTTTTAGGGGAAGTTCTGCCGAAATCTTGAATATTCATACTTAATTAATATGTTGTTATATTTATTTAGAATGATTTCTTATTCTTATTAGGAGGAGTTCTTTATTTAATTCTGTTCTCTCCTTTCAGTTCTACTTCGTATAGATTATTTAAGATCGTCTTCTGTTTTTGCAAAACAGAACTACAATTAGAGTCTTCCTTGTCTTATTGCCACGAGTTGTAACAAGTAGTATAATATCATTCGCATCGTGCATACATACATTATTATATAATGTTACGATTCCTTACTCGGCTAATTATTACTCATTTATTTATTTATTTATTTTGTTTATAGCATAAATATTCATTATTTTATACTTGACTTATATATGTGTATGTTTGAACATTTTCATAACTATGTTTGTTTATTGAATGTGCTTGCATTTAAATGCAATGCTTGATTAGATGTGTTGTGATGATGACATGCCTTGTTTGCGTGGAATTGGAATGAAGTCTTCACCATTGGGTTTGTGAGGGCAGTCTACGATACCGTTGGCCATGTATGGAGAGATCGGCTCCCCCGTGTGCATCTGATGATATGATTGATATGGATAAAATACAGGGTGGCCTCTTATTGGTAATGGAAAAGTAAAGAGAGGATGGAAAAAAAGAGAGGGTTGGTCAACTGAGGATTAGACCGGTCGACCATGTATGGGGCATCGGCTCACTGGTGCACGCGTTTGAGAGGATGAGCCATGTGTGAGGATGGCTCATCGGGGGTTTCGGTGATACCACAAACCAATTTCCACTTGTTTGATTATGTGGAGGTGTACTTATCTGTGGGTACTGAGTTGTGCCATATGCTTGACTGATTGTGTGTTCATTTTAGTATTTTAGGAAGCATTGCGCTGTGAATGCTTGTGTTATGCCATAATTAATATTCATTATAAAACTCACATTTCTTTGGTTTAACTTTTCCAAGAAGTATATTTTTCTTTGTACCGGCTAAAGCTCTGTTTCCTTCACCGCAGAGCTAGAAAAGTAATTCTCTGATTCCAGCATAAGGAGTTATTTATTTCTGTTGTCATTGAACTCTACGGATGCAAGATTATTAAATCACTTGTTATATATATGGATATTTGTATTTGAATTGGGGCCTTTAAAACGGTTTGGATTATTATCATTAAATTGGACTGTCTAGTTGAATATATATCTATTGGGTTTGTCGATTGATAAACAATGTTTCAGGCTTACTACGGATCTCGGTGGCCTTAAGCCTACTTGGGCCCTAGTGCCGGTCCGACCTATGAAAATGGGTTGTGACATATTTATATCTAGATTTCAATTTTAAATTTTGAACTTTTTTTGTTTTTTATTGGATCATGTAAGATTTTTTTTTTTTAAAGTCTAAATTTATCTAATTTATATTTAAATTTTGAATATTTGAATTTTATTTTATGTCCATTTATTTATAATGTTATCTGTTATTATATCTATATATCTTCTTCATTATCATACTTGAAGATGATCAATAAAAGAAACTTCCGTTGAAATAATTTTATTCATCATCACTACCATACTTGAAAATGATCAATTTAATTTTTTAGTAATAATTATATGGTATGAATATAATTTATTATTTAATATTCACTTTATGATTTTAATTTAAAAAAAATAATAAATAAATTTGGTTTTTCTTTTATTTGCAATTGCAAAAAGATTTGAATAAAAAAAAAGTTATTGCCAAAATTATAATAATTTTCTAAAATATTGCCAAAATTTATTAATAATTTTCTAAATTTGAAAATAAACATAATTCATGTTATTTTAAAAAAATAGCCTTATAAAAATCACAAAATTTTAATTTTAAATCACAAAAATTTAATTTTATCAATACAATCCTGCCTAATGCATGGGCCTTGTTACGACCCGCTTGGCATTAGGGTCAGGTAAGCTTAAAGTCCCCTGAGCTTCGGAGCAAGTCTGAACCACTAAAATTTAACCATATAAATATGATTTTCACACATTCGGTCCGTACTGCCATGCACAATAAATCTCATAATTGTATTATACTTTGATCCAAATGTAACGTCTTAAATATTTTATAGATTGGGCCCAATTTAAATACAAAACATCCTAAATGTGGGCTAACAGATTTATGCATTCACAACAACAAATAACTAAACGTCCTCATCAATTTATCAGTTCCAATCATATAACTGCGGAGTTCACTAAGAGATAAGTATAAATAAGTTTTAGTATATATATAATTACATAATTAAATAACTGTTAATTCTAAAAGTTAATTTTCTAGCTCTGGGGGGAAGGAGACAGAGCTCTAACCGGGCAAAAGAAATCTACTTCGTGGAAGAATTAAAACAAAAGAAATGTGAGCTTAATAATGAATAATAATTAATGCATAATACAAGCATTCACACAAAATGCTTCCTAATGTACTAAAATGAGCACTCATCCAATCAAACAAATAGCACATCATCAGCACCCACAAACAATCGCACCTTCAAGTAATCAAATACGTGGAGATAGGTCAGTGGCGTCACCGGAACTCCCAATGAGCCGTCCACACACATGGCCCATCCTCTCATGACGTGTGCACTAGGGAGCCGATCCTCCACACCTGGCCGAAAAGTCAAATCCTCACTTGACCAACCCTCTCATCTCATTTCATTTCATTCATTCATTTATTTCTTTTATACTCTCTTTTCTTTTCTATATCATCAGGAGGTCACCCTATGATATATAATCCATATCTTCAGGTGCACACGGGGGGCGCCGATCTCCCCATATATGGCCGATGGTCGAATTTAATATTTTCATCATTTCCAAAACTGTCCTCACAAATCTATGGTGATCCACTTCATCCCAATTCCATTCAAACAAGGCATAGCAATGTCACAACCCAAATAATCAAACATCACATTTAAATGCAAGCATAGTAATTAATTAAATACTATCATACAAGAGTGCAAATTGACATTCACATACCAATTCAAACAAATATAAGGGTGCTAAATAATAGTTTAGTATAATAGGTGGTACTAATAAACAAATAAATAAATTTAAAAATAAATAAATAATAAAGGATTATCCTAAATAAATCCTACAACCTATTTACAAGTGAATCTAATCTGGATTCTATCGAAATTTCGGCAGAACCTCCCCTAAAAGTTGGATTAAACCACAATTCAATAATAAATTCTCAAAGCCCATCCATTGGGCAATTCACAACAATTAATCCCATCCGCCATAACTGATACGGATCCACCATCACTCATCCAGGAGTCCAAGGGAACAAGAAGAACAACATGAAAAATCCATTAGTGTTTCCTAGTGGACCAATTACAATAAGTTATATAAAGAGATATGGGGCAGCCATGTCCTTATATGTTCAAGACCAAGTTACACAAGAGCTTCATGATCTTACTTTCAACAAGTGTTGTGTGGAACTTGAAAAAGTTGTTGTGTGGAACTTGAAGGCACACCTAGGCTTCTTAAATTGTTGGAGGATATTTGCTGATGGTCTGTAGCACGCCCCTCGCCGTACTAGGCCCGACTTTGGCGTAATAAGTTAGCCCATTTGTGTTTAGTTTTGGTTGTAATGTTGTTATTAGGTTGGGCCACCCTTATGGGGCAGCCATGTCCTTATATGTTCAAGACCAAGTTACACAAGAGCTTCATGATCTTGCTTTCAATAAGTGTTGTGTGGAACTTGAAGGCACACCTACTCTTCTTACATTATTTGAGGCATATGTTGTTGATGGTGTAGCACGCCCTGACCGTACTAGAGCCTAACTTTGGCGTAATAACTTAGCCCATTTTTTTTAGTTTTGAGTTGTAATGTTGTTAATAGGTTGGGCCACCAATAAATTGGGCCACCCTTTTATTTTTATCCTTAGTTGGTTTGGTTAATTATTTCTTATCCTTAGTTGGTTTGGATTAATTATTCCTTATCCACAGTTTGTTTGGATTAGTTATTCCTTATCCTTAGTTGGTTTGGATTAATTATTCCTTATCTTTAGTTGGTTTGGATTAACTATCCTTATCCTTAGTTGGTTTGGATTAATTATTCCTTATCCTTAGTTTATTTGGATTAGTTATTCATTATCCTTAGTTGGATATTAATTAGTCCTTATCCTTAGTTGGTTTAGATTAGTTAAATCCTTATCCTTAGCTGATTTAAATTAATTATTCTAAATCCTTTAAGGATCATGACCTTTTAGAATTAGTAAAAATAGCGTTGTTATGTTGTTACATAAATCATTCAATGAAATATTAAAGCTACATATTTTATTCATGCTTAGGCGTATTCCATTGATTAGAGAGATTGTGAGTTTGCATTCCTCTAATTGCATCAAGAATCAAGGTAAACTTATCAATTTATTTGTTGCGTTTATCTTATTCTTTTACTCTATTATTGGTGTTCTTGCTTCTTTAAGTTTTGGGGTGCCATAGAGGGGAGTTTAGTTTGGATCTTGAATCTATTCCCAAATCTTGTCATAGAGTTCTTGGAATATTTACAATAGGGTTCCGCGTCAGTTTGGTATAGAGCCAAAGAGCCAAAGATTAAGGTAAATTCTTATTTATTTTAGTTCTAGGGTTTTTGATTTTTTCTTGTTTTCTTAAATTCTTGTGTTTGTCTTGTTGTTTTGCTTAGTTTTAATTTTAAATTTTGCATCATTGTGTTTTCTTGATTCATTTTTATTTCTACAAAAGAAAAAAAAAATTTGGAAATTGTGATCTTAAATCTTGCTAATTAGATTTTGTTTAAAAAAAAAAAAGAAGAAGAAAAAAAAAAATTCGTCCACCATTGAAGCTTGAATTGTGTTGAGTGGATTTTGTTCCTAATTCATAGGGATTTTGTTCCTAATTCAAAGGGATTTGAGATTTTGATCCTGAATTCATAAGGATTTTGACCTTATTTTGAGAGATTAAGCTTATCTACTATAATCTTTTGATAAAAACCTAATCTTCAACTTACTTTGTGGATAAGCGTAACAAGAATTATTTGTCCATATCTTTTTGAGATTAGCGTTATCCACTATTAATCCTTGTTCAAAAATCTTCCTAACTAAATTGGGTTATATTTGATGGATAAGAGAGATACCAAGTCAGCACGCCCGTTACTTTCCATCTAGCACGCCCGTGCTAGCTTCTTGATCTTATAAAAAAAAAAAATTTTTTTTTTGAATTTTTTGGATTTTTCTTTGATGCTTGCTTTGTGTTGGGTAGAATTAATTTAAGGATCCATATTTGGTTTGCTTTGTAGTTAAACTAAATTCATACATTATATCCAGAAATTGTCTTGTCTTTTAAATTCTAGTTTCTTTATTCTTATTTTGAGCTTTCTTTTGCTTCTCTACATTGTTAGGGTGTGTTTGCTTGTTTACTACACTCAAATTGATAATTAAGTAGTACATAGTTTTATTCTTGTGCTGTTATCCTTTTCGTTTTTGGGTCTTCTCTCTAGAATTTGTGCTTACTTTTATTGTTAGGGTTTATTCCTTGTTTCTAAACGTGCTTTTGAGTTTTGGTTGACCTAAGATTCTGAAGTACAATTAGAGGAATTGCAAGGAGTGATTAAGGAGTGTAAACACGTGAGGGAGTGCTTTACTATTAACTCAAATCTTTTCGTGTTTTCTATTTTAAATACTAACCATGAGTACAGGCAAGTCTGGAGATGGTAATGGGGATGGAAATCAAATTAAAGATCCTCAATTGAAACTTTTCATGGAATCAATCTAAGGACAGTTTAGAACCTTCAACAATCTCTTTCAAGACATAAGGGAAGCGAGAGATAAAGGCTTCACAAAGCTCTAATACGACAAGAGCTCATCCACAAGCTAGATTTCAAATTCATGATTATGAGGAGACTGAAAACACTGATTTTTGTAAAATTGATGGGGATTTGGGATCAATCAAAATGAGGATTCCAGAATTCAAAGGTAATAATAATGCTGAAGAATTTCAAAGGTAACAACAATGCTGAAGAATATTTTGAATGGGAGAGGAAGGTAGAACAAATATTTGAATGTCATAACTATTCTCAGGAGAAGAAGTCCCATCTTGCAGCTGTTGAGTTCAAGGGTTATGCTATGTTTTGCTGGGAACAATTGCTATTAAAAAGAAGAAGAAAAGTAATGCGACCTGTACCACCATGGGAGATCATGAAGGAATTAATGCACCAAAAGT